GAAGGCGAAGCGAACCACTTCAGCCCGCGCGGTGCGTGACGCTCCACGCGTCACCTGCGCGCGAGCGCGGCAGACGACACGTGGAACTTCGACCCCCAGACCTCCACATGTGCCTACTCAACATCCGCAGGAAAACTGGCGCACCACTCTTACTCTCTTGGGAAGAGGTAGAGGACAACGTTGAACTTCTGTGCATGTCTTTCTGTGCATTCTTGATGTGTGTCGGACCGCCTTTGATTTATGCGTGCTTCTCTATTGAATACATGCGTGTATAGGTGTGAAGGGGAATCCATGATCTGATGTCGCAATGACGATGGATCGTGCGGATAAGATCTCGAAAGTGGCGCGTCTCCGAGACATCTCGCGCTGACCGCCGTGCCTGCATGTCACCGAGCGCTAACCGCCACGATGACCTGCTCACACGAACGCGGGGCGAATGGAGAAGAATATGACTCACATCAGATGCAAAAATGGAGATATCGTAGCGGTGCTGGGCTACGTGCGGCATGTGCGCACACAAGCCACCTCGTGCCAAAAAACACAGTAGGCGCGTGCGTTACGGGTAGGCGGAGCGAAGCTCACAGCCACACTCCAATACTAGAAGCCAGAGTGGCAACGACAACAACGCTGGTCGGGAAAGATCGCTGGTTTCGACGACGGCCGCCCTCCGTCATTTACTACAACGACTACTACGACTACTACGACAACTCCTACGATTACTACTCCCACTACTACTTCTACTGCTACTACGAAGTCTACTACAACTACTGCTGCTACTACTCATCGTACTACTGCTGCTCTGCCTCCTACTCCAATCATTGATTTTACGAAGGATTTGGGCTCGTTTTGTCCTTCTCAGGGGGCAGCTCTCCTTTGCGCTTCTGCGGAGATCGCAAGAGGCCCCAAGATGGCCCCAAGAGGCCCCCAGGAGGCTCCCAAGAGGCCTCCAAGAGGCCCCCCAGAGGCCCCCAAGCGGCCCGAAGAGGCCCCCAAGAGAACCCCAAGAGGCCCCCAAGACGCCCCACGAGGCCCCAAGAGGCCCCCAAGAGGCCCCCAAGAGGTCCCCAAGAGGCCCACGACGCCCCAAGAGGCCCCCAAGAGGCCCCCAAGAGGCCCCCAAGAGGCTACACGACGCTCCAAGAGGCCCCCAAGGGGCCCCACGAGGAGCCCGAACGACTCACATCAGGACGAGGGGCCCGAACGACTCACACCACGAAGAGGCCGAACGACTCACACCACAAGGAGGGGCCCGAACGACTCACACCAGGACGAGGCGCCCGAACGACTCACACCACGAGGAGCCCGAAGGACTCACACCACGACGCGGGCCCCGAACGACTCACACCACGAGGAGCCCGAACGAGTCACACCAGGAGGAGGGGCCCGAACGACTCACACCAGGATGAGGGGCCCGAACAACTCACACCACGAGAAGCCCGAACGACTCACACCAGGACGAAGAGCCCGAACGACTCACACCACGAAGAGCCCGAACGACTCACACCAGGAAGAAGGGCCCGAACGACTCAGACCAGGACGAGAAACCCCAAACGACTCAAACCACGAGGAGCGCTTTCTCTCCCTCCTCCTTCGCCTCGTCCTTCTCCCGCTCCCCCCACAAGGAGGATGTACAAGGAGGCGGGAGGAAGGAGGAACAGGGGAGATATGCGGGGCCCAGCGGACACACGCCTGAAAAACACGACTGCCGGCATGCTTCGCGAGAGTTGCTGCTGTGAGATGGGCTGGTGGGGATACGCGAAGCGTAAAGAATTCACCTTTACGTTCGAGAGGTGGCGGATGACTCCAAAGAATCTCGACCGCATGTACGACCTGTTCAACCGAAACTGCACCATGCGTAACGTCCAGCAGGAGTAGAAGTTCAAGGAGGCATCCGAGGATGGGGACCAGGAGCAGCTCGAGAGGGCGGGCCAGGCGACCGTCGACGGGCTCGACATGCACCAGCAGTCCGAGAAGGAGCTGGAAAGTTTCGAGACCGACGCGATTGACACGGAGAATTGCCCCACCATCCGCACCACCTTGCAGGAGGAGACGCTCATGGAGACGTTCAAATACGGGACCAGGAAAAGATCGAGAAGGCGGACCAGGCCATCATTGACGGGCTCGGCATCAAACACGTGTCCGGGAAGGATCCGTTCGAGGGTACGCAGGGGAAGCTGGAGGGCAACGTCAACCCCACCATGCTGGCGCGGTACCAGTTCGGTGAATAAGCTGGTCTCCATGGCACGGATGGGGTCGAAGACGCCGTACGCCGATCTGGAGGGCTGGCCCCTGGTTATCCGCGACTGTGCGCTGCACTTGTGGGAAGACATAGGCGTATTGGGCAGAACCGACGACCACGACTGGGCCATCGACTTAGACGGCCAGTAGGTGACCCGGAGGGGCCGCGCAGCCAGTCGGTGACCCTGAGGGGCCGCGCGGCCTCTCCCCGTCTGTCGTCCTCCTCCGCCTCCTGTGCCATTTCTGCCTCTCCTCCTCCCCGTCCCCGCAACGAGGCACGCAACTGCGGGAGAGTCTAGCACGTGCGGAGGTCGCCCTGTCGTTTTTGTATGTTCTGTCCGTTGTGTTCGACGGCCAGGCCCCCGCGCAGGCAGCGAGCTGCTGCACTTGCCTGCGCGTGTGGCTCTTCCGAGCTAGCAAGCAGAAAAGGGAGTGTACATTGGTTGCATCCCTCTCCCAGGATCTCGGGGATGACGATCGAGTAGAGATTGAACTGAATGGGTGAGAGCGAGAGGCGTAATTCTCCTCCTCCTCCTCCTCCTCCTTATCCTCCTCCTCCTCCTCCTCCTCCTCCTCCTCCTCCTCCTCCTCCTCCTCCTCCTCCTCCTCCTCCTCCTCCTCCTCCCCCTCTTCCTCGTGCCTCCTCCTCGTGCCTCCTCGTGCCTCGTGCATCGCGCGGTTCTCTTCGCTCCCTCGCTTCCCCGCGCCGCCCCCTTACAGTAGGGCCAGCCGCCTGGCCCCAGACCGCGGCCGGCGACGCGCCGATGATCTTCGGGCCCCCGCGGGTGACGTTGAGACGTCCACATCCACGGCTGCTGGGATACTGCCCTGCATCCGGAGGGGGGGCGGCGGCTGCGGACATCTTCCCGCGCTCGGAGGCGGGAGGGTACCCATGCCCACACAGCTCCTCGAGGTCCGAGGGCCCGACTCTGGAGCGGAGGATTCCAGGGGGGGGCGGTAGAGAGGGGGCAGGATCAGTCGGCACCGCATCGGGAATTCGGGCCCATCTGAATGCGCGCGAGACCGGGCTGCATCGGAACGGACGCGAAATCGAGCCGGCTCGGCCACGCCAAGATGTGCAACAGCGCCGCGCAAGCATCGGGCTCAGTCGGATCGTCGGAGCATCGGAATCGAATCGGACTGGCCGGAGTCGGCCTCGAATCGGATCGACGGGATCGAAATAGACCCCAGGAGCAAGTTGTTCGGCGTGAAGAAACCGGGGCCCAGAGGAGGAGCAGGAGGAGGAGGAGGAGGAGGAGGAGGAGGAGGAGGAGGAGGAGGAGGAGGAGGAGGAGCAGGAGGACGGACCCTGAGTGGCGTGTCGGGCGGGAAGGCCCTAGGGCGGACCCCGACGGGCGGGACGGGCGGCTGGATCTGAACGGGCGGGTCGGGCGGGCAGGACGTTCAGGATGGCGGCGAGAAACTCCCAGGCGACAGCGCGAGGCCTACTAGGTATCCCATGGTCAGGACTCACAAGGATGCCCTCGGCGAGAACGCGATTCGGTTGTACATTGGAAGGGAGTTCCAGGCGAGAGGCGATTCCTGAAAGGCGGGGGCGCGGTACTTCAGTGAGTTGCAGGGGAGTCCCATGGGAGAGCTCGATCTCCAAGTGAATTGCACGGATGTCTCGAGCCAGAGCGCCAGTCCTTGCATCATGATGTCTCAGGCGGGAGCCGCTGGCGTTGTAGCCAGGGCCCCAAGGGCACAGTCTGACCAGGAAAGCATTCCTTGGCAAATCAACATGGTGCGAAAGGCGAGGGGGGCAGGTCGGATCAAGAATAGCAATTCTTCAAACGCGAGAACCCAAAAACACTCCGCTCCGCGGAACCCCACTTCAGCAACGCACCCAGGCACTAAGCCCGCTGGACCAACTCACTATGAAGATCACGATCGGAGAAATTCTGTCTGGTCTCGGTTCTATATCCACTGCAACTACCATCCGATTGACAATATATAGGGGAAAAGAATGTTACTCACATCTCCGTCTCCACCTTCCCCTCCAACCCATTTCTTTAGAGGAAGGAGGTAAAAACGCCACGCTCTGGCGAACATAGTTCCTGCTTAGACTGGCAGTCCGCCTCGGGGGGACAAATCCTGATGACCCCCTGGCGGACAATAGGAACATAACCACGTGTCAGTTGTCACGGACGTGCCTGGGGCAATTTTCCGCCAGTGCTTCGGAGATAGCTCTCCTAACAGATAAGTGCGGAAATTCGGGCGCGTGTTCGGCGTGGGCACGGCTGTGCTCGAATTCGACGGGCGGGAAGAAATGATATGTATCGCATTCGCTCAGGGACGCCACGCAACTGGGACCTATACACCCAGAGCCCATTGACCACATCATCCGAATGTCGAAGGTAAGCATAAGTTGTGTAACACCCATCAACATTAATTCAAACGGCCTTGTGGAAAGGGGGGAAAGGGAGAGAATCCAGATCCTCATCCCTCCTCCCTTCTCCCCGTCCCACCTGGCCACTTACAAACGTTCAAGTGCCTTCTCCATCTTCTTCGCTCTCTCCCTCTACTTCTGCTCCTCCCTCTCTCGGTCCCTTGCGCCAAGTATGGCCTAACACTTCTCAGACAGGAGGCTGCTGTAGACGCAACGCGGCTGAAAATCACCATGGTCAATGAACATGGCTTGCCGATGTTTATCAAACTCTACAAGATCGTCTGAACAACCAACCTGCAGGTCACTATATCCTCGATTATGTGGGACTACCCCTCAATCTTCATCCCGCTCACTCTCTCTCTCTCTCTCGCTCTCTCTCCGTCTCACTCCGCCTCGGCGACGCGCGAGCGCTCCTTTTCTAGACGCTGCAAATCCCCATCGTGGTTTAACCCGGTCCAGTGGCAAGAGGGACTGGTCGGGCGCCGTCAACGGACCGCCTCGCCGATCCTGGCTGGACCCATCCTGGGCACGGGACGGGTGTGTGCGCCCTCCCTGCATGGCCCGGGCGAGGCGCATGCATCGATGCCGGGCCCTGGAATCCAGGGCCCAGCATCCAGGGCCCTGGAATCCAGGGCCTGGATCGGACAGGCCAGGATCGGACAGGTGGCCAGCTGACGTCGCCCAGACCGGCGGCGCGCAAGGGGGGGTCGGCATGAAGCAGATGGGCCCTCATGAAGCGAATGGGTCCTGGATCCGGGGGCCGATCCCGAGGACTAGCTTTTCGACCCGAGCCTTTTCCTCGAAGGCCCCTGGGCCCACGGAGGGCCCCAAGGAGCCCAAAAACTGCGAAAGAGCTCGGGACCCGTTTTGCCTCAGGGCCCGAGTGCTGCATGGTGAGGGGGGGCGAGGGGGGCACCCTTTTCTCAGCCGCGGGTCCAGAGACCCTGAACCCCCAAGATTGCTGTCATCTCTTGGGGCCGCATCTGTCACTTCCGCTGGTCTCCGCTGGCTCCCGCAAGCGGATCCGGCCTCGATTTGTTGCCGCCGGCTTCCGCTGGCCTCCTGCCGCCTCCCGCGGACGAAGACATCATTACCAATCTCTCAAAAATCCCGAAGACGAGGACCTCTCTGAAAGGCCACAGTGGGCGGAAGGGTGCCATCCTAGACTCTAGGACCGCTGCTCTGCCCCCGAGCCCAGGGGTGTCCCAAATCCGTGTGGTGACGGACTTGGTGGTGACCTCGGAAACCTCAACGAACTCACCACTCACCACACGGTCCGTCGCCACACAGCCTTGAGAGCTCGGAAGCCCCAGTCGCCCGAGGCATCCTCGGGGAACGACCCGAGTCCCAAAACGTGAACGAATCTTCTCACTCGGCGTTTCGACATTGGGCGGAAAGGGGGGCGAAGATGGGGGTCTGGCTCCAGACCTCCGCTTAATGCGAATGTTTGCAACCGTGCGTCCTGTGGGGGAGTCTCCACCTGCTGAGGCCGGGGGCCAAGAACTGCCAAGATCTACTTTCTGGGAGGGGGGGCGCGATGGCCCGCGCCGATCGGCAAAACAATGAATCATGACAACAACAGTAATCATCATAACAATACGAATCTTAATAATGACAATGGTAGGGGTAACCATGATACAAATCATACCAACATTAATCATACCAAGAATACTATCAAGTAGTAATAATAATATCAATATTGATAATACTACTATAACAACAAATAATATTAATAAGGAAACTCCTAATGACAACTATGATATTCATTAAAATTAATACGATCACAACCGTGCGGTGGCCCCGAATCCCCACCACTATCCTCCTCCTCCTCATCATCATCCTCCCTTTTCCCTCATCCCTCCTCCTCCTCCTCCTCCTTCTCCTCCTCCTCCTCCCCCTCCTCATCCCCCTCCTCCTCCTCCTCCTCCTCCTCCTCCTCCTCCTACTCCTCCTCCTCCTCCTCCTCCTCCTCCTCCTCCTCCCTCTCCTCCCTCCTCCCTCCTTCTCCTCCCTCCTCCTCTCCTCCTCCTCCTCCTCCTCCTCCCTCCTCCTACCATCTCCCTCCTCCCTCCTCCTTCTTCTCCTCCTCCTCCTCCTCCCTCTCCCCTCCTTCCTCCTCCCTCCTCCCTGCTTCCTCCTCTCCTCCATCCTCCTCCTCCTCCTTCCCCTCCTCCCTTCCCCCTCCTTCCTCATCATGCCTCCTCCTTCCCCCTCCCTCCTCCTCCTCCTCCTCCTCCCTTCCTCATTCCCTCCGCCTTCCTCTTTCCCTCGCTCCTCCTCCTCCTCCTCCTCCTCCTCCTCCTCCTCCTCCTCCTCCTCCGTCTTCCTCCTTCCTCCTTCTTCCCCTGGACGACGAGCGGCGGAAAGGCGAGACCCACGGGGGGCCCGAAAGCCCCCGGGCTCCCCACAGCAAGCCTCCCCGATAAGTTCGAACTCCTCCCTCCACCCTTCTCCCTCCCTCCGGGGTGCCCCTGGACCACGGAAGATTGCCACCCGCCACCCCGTGGTGCTGGCCTGTAGGCTCTTCAGGCTGGCGCTCGAAACGGGGCGGACCTGCCCCGAGGGCCCCCTGAACCACGCAGTCCGAATACGCATTTCCTCATCTGTCCTCTCTCCTCCTCCTCCTCCTCCTCCTCCTCCTCCTCCTCCTCCTCCTCCTCCTCCTGCTCCTCCTCCATTATCCTCCTCCTCCTCCTCCTCCTCCTCCTCCACATCCACCTCCTCCTCCTCCTCCTCCTCCTCCTCCTTCCTCCTCCTCCCTTCTCCCTCCTCCCCTCCCTCCTGATCTCCCTCCCTCCTCCTCCTCCTCCTCCTCCTCCTCCGCCTCCTCCTCCTGGTGCTCCCCCCTCCTCCTCTCCCCCTCCTCCTCCTCCTCCTCCTCTCCTCCTCCTCCTCCTCCTCCACCTCCTCCTCCTCTCCCCTGTCTCTGTTTCTGTTGTTTTCTTTCCCCCCCCGCACGCAGAGCCAGCCACAGACACCTGTGAACGGCGGCTCCAATCAAACCCGATTCGACGATGGGATCAACCAGCACATTGCGAGCGCGCACGCACAACTTTGTTTGGGAGAAAAATGCCGCAACGACGTCGAACCGAACCATCGAACGTGTAATTATCAGACACCCGCTCCCCTCCTTCTCCTCGCCTCGTTCCCCTCCCACTCCTCGCATCGCTACTTCTTTCGTTTCGTCTCTTCCTCTCGCTCCTTCCACCCCCTCGACGTTGGCTTGGTCGTCGTCGTCGCTGTCGTCGTTTCACCAGTCGTGTGGCCAGCAGCGAACTATAGACGACAACCTCACCATTTCACCAATGCACCTCTGACGTGCACGGCGTTCTTATCTTTGCTCGTTTCCCTCCTCTCAGAGACCCGGCTCTGCTTGCCAGGTACTGCTTACGCCGATCTGAAGGCAGTTATGGCCTTGTCACTGCGGCTGCGCCCTTCGTATACCCTGTGGCAAGTACGCCACACCAGTAGCGTTCCACAATTACGCGATAACTGCGATAAGCATGAGCGGGCATTTACGGCGGGTTCACGTCGCGACGACGTGGGCGTTCGTTTCTGGCACCGCGTGATCGTGGGTCTCCGATCTCGCAGGTCGTTCAATGTCGGCCAATTCTGCGCCACCAGCAGCGTTCAAGTCTGAACGCTCGCGCTGGGGTCACCGCTGCGTCAAAGCGGCGAGAAACTCGGCATGAAGCCAATGGGTCCTGAGGGAAACGGGTCCTGGCCTCCCGGTGCCTTCCCCCGGGGCCAGTTCTTCGTCCCGAAGTGTTTTTTCTCGGCCCTGGGGCAGGGAGCTCGCAAACACAGAAACACCTCCCCGCAGACTCGATACCCGTTCCCCGGGGTGAGGCCCTGCCGTTAGGTCGGGCCTGTGCCCCTACAGGCGGATTTTGGACGAATGAAACCCAAAATATCCCAAAGATTAGAAAATACCTAAAACATAGTCCCCAGACAATTTCTTAACAATATTTGAATACTCCTTCTGCAGAGGGCCGTGCCCGACTTGGCCCTACCGTGAGCTGCTCGCCTGGCCCCCCGTGCGCGCCGCTGGCGAGGGAGGCGGAAGCGCGCCGGGCGGGGCGCGGCGGGGCCTCGAAGCGGGCGGCGCTCAGCCGGTGAGCTCGATGTGCGGCTGGACGGGCAGGATCTGCGGCGGCAGCTTCTGGGGGCCGCCCGCGGGGCGCGAGGGCCCAGGCAGCCACCGCGTCGACCAGCGTCGAACAAACGTTTTGGTGGACTTGTTTTCCACCACCACCACCATAAGTAGGAGGGGGAGGGGGTCCTCCTCATCCTTTCCTCCTCTTCCTCCCCCTCATCCTCCACCTCCGTCCCCCCTCCAACTTATGGTGGTGGTGGTGGAGAACAGGCCCATCACATGTTTTGTCGCCGTCTTCGGCCTCCGGGGCCCTCGGCGGGCCCAAGGACCGTGGAACCAAGATCGCTCACGACGAAAAGCCGGCCCACGGGGAGAGCGTCGGGCGTTCCGGGAACCCAACATTGCAAACATCGGGGCGTCGGATCTCCAGGGAAGGCTCGCCCTCACATCCAAGCGCCGCAAACGAAACTCGTGGCGACGTTGTGTGTCTCTACGATTTCTGCCTCTGGAGGCCACCTCTCACGGCAATGGGGCCGTCCAGTCATGACTCGGGATGGAAAGCTGGCACCGTGAGGAAACAACTGTGCACCGTGCCACTCCCAGGACGAGAATCGACAACGCCTCGGGGAACGCCAACGCGGGCCAGTGGTCGAAACCCCTGGGGGGTGCTCACGTCGCGAAAAGCAACAACGTCGGGGGAGAGGGCCGAAGGTGGCACTCGCTCTGCGAGGCCTCTGTGGGCACGGCCGAGACCCATGCCGCCAGATGGCGATTGGGCTGAACTAAGACGGGGACAGGACCAGGGCAGAATCGGACTGGGATGTGCCGGGGATCTCGGAGATCTGGTGGCTCGGGCGGACG